CTAGAATTAACCCCAAAATACCAGACAAGAAAAGAGTGAGAATATTTGGCTCACTATAAACAAGTCAATACAAACAATAAATAATAAACTTAATTGTGAAAAGAGTGAGAAAGTAATACCAGACAACTTTTTCAAAAAGATACGATTATCCTCATCATAATTCATATTATCAATAAACTGAATTTCTCCTTTAGTCAAATTCACCACAAATAAGCAATAGTGATTGCCCCAAAGACAAGGTAAAAATATTTGCAACAATAATACCACCATTAGTCAGAATAAAAAAAACACATATAGATTCCATTATTTATGTTATAGTGACTTCTTTTAAAATATACTTATGCAATTTTCAATAGTCACTCTCATTTAAAAAAAGGTATCTATAACATAAAAAAAGGGAACTATATTTTTCAAAGCATAAAAAAACAGAAAGTATTACCAGCTCCACTTCTGACAAATCAAAATCATTGCAAGCTATTTTCATCCACTCCTCCAAACCTTAATAAACATTGTCCATTAGTTGTGAATTGCCATCACTGCCGGTAGCTTCTACTATTCATAATATTTTAACAAATAAAAAAAAGTAAAAAGTATAAACATTGAAATAATTAAACAACTCACACTAATTGAAGAACCAAAGTACAATTTCCGAGGTCCATCCTTTAAATATTTCTGATTTTCATTGAGAAGCAATGCCAAGCAATCCAAAATACTACTGCTCATGATTTCAGAAGGCTCTCCTAATGTGTAGAATTCTTGCCTTTGAATCAAATGCTTTTTGTGAAAAAATACCAATAGTTCACTGAGTCAAAGAGTATAAAACAAGAATTAAAAAGGTGTTTCATAAATAAATAAATAAATAAGAGAAAATCAATGTAATCAAACAAAAGATTACTTACTTAGGAGCCAAACAAGAATCATTGATGATGCAATAGTCAACAATCTCTAGGACTAATGGATCTAATAGCTTCATTTCCTTGTTATTTGACTTCAAAAAGTGTGAAATGAGTATAAGCTTTTCATCAGATTTCCAATCCAAAGAAAACAAACACCTGGACCTTCCATTTGCAAGAATATTTTCAAAGCCAATCACAGGCAAAGTGCCTCTAATTGCCTCCCTCCCTCCATTTGTTTTGTTGTGGTCAAATGTAGAAATTTGAGCCAACACCTCGGGTAATTTTGTCACCCAAATAGCAAGTCCGGAGATCTCGTCAATCACAGATTGAACTAGAGGATCCATAAAAACCGAATCATTCTGGGACAAATTAATACCCGAAGTGTTGTTGGCCTCATCACGTGAAAGATTAATCTCTTTTATCTTGTCATTGTAAAAACAAGAGATCACATGCATATCTCTTTTCATGAACAAAAATTGCTCATGAACGGGCTGCAAAAACATTAAAACAAACATGCATAAACATTTAAATCATATCCAATAATAAAAATAATAATATAGAATAAAAGGCAGCTACTCCGATCCTTACATCAATAGCAGCCGAATGGATCTCTTGATCTGACATCGAACCTGGTGGGAGAATGAACTGTATTGTACCCCGGGAATCAGGCACATCAACACTCCCCCCGACATTCCTCACAACATTATCACTCCCCCCAACATTCCCCATACTTTCCCCTGCAGTACCCACAACATGTCCATCCAGAAACTTCAATTTACCACTAACAAAATACACATCAGAGAGTAAAATCCCACACCCAAAACTTTTGGACAATTTTTCCTTCTTAATTCTATCCCTAATCAACTCATCATTCCAATGTTGAATTAAGGGTGAAGAAGTACTTAATTTAACATTCCTAAATTAAACCTATGGAAGTAAATAATCTCCAACGTCAAAATACAACCACAACAGTTCTGAATTTCTCCTTTTTTGTAACTTTTAACACCTTCACACAGTTTTTCAAGAACATATTTACACCAATTCAAATTCTTAATTTGTGCAACATCATCAAGTGCCTTGACAATCCTAAGATCAGCGAATCTGTTAAAAGTAGGAGCTAAAAACGTGGATATTGCATGCATAACAAAGAGTTGCTTAAACTCATCTCCACCTTGACCTAAAGTAGGTATCCTAGCTTCTAACAAATCAAGTGGAATTTGATCGTTTTCATCTGTCAACCCAAAATGAAATCTCCAATTATGTTTGAAAACAAAGTCTGGATTATTTTTATTAGCGGATCTAGGTATCTCCTCAACATTTTTGGGGTTCAAAGGAAGGCAAAACACATCATACTCAGTCACCACAAACTCCTTATTATTATCGATTGAAAACATGCAGCTACCACAGTCAAAAGAATCAATTAGCCACCTGTACATACTAGTAGGATTCCTTTTCAACTTCAATGGTAACAACCGTCCAAAATCGATTTTAGTTACAGAATTTTTTTGATCAAGAGTGAAGTTAGACATCATGTCAACCAAATGCAAAGGCCTATATTTAGTTTTAAATGGCCGCAATCTGCAAAATAGAAATAATAATGCTATCAACATTAAATCAACATCAAGTTAACAAATCAAAAAATCAATGCAGTCTGACAAGTTCAAATTAGTGGCCAATAATTAAAGGTCAAAGAAGCAACAATCTCAAATTTGCATAGTCACACCAACATACATGTTGAATCTAACTTTTTGAGAGCACTACAAAGTAAATAAAGTTACTTACGTAGGTACATCACCACCAGATTCACCAGCTTCAACTATTGATTTCTTCATTCTTGTCCTTGGCTTCTTAGGACGAACAAGAGCAGCAGCTTCAACTTCAGCTTTATCTTCATGAGTTCTCTTACGACGAGATGAAGGTGAACCAATTGCAACAACTTGATGCTCAAGAACATCTTCATGAACCTCTATAGCAACACTCTTTTCCTTGTTAGCTCTAGTTTTCTTCTTCAAGCCTTTGGCACCATTATTATACAAAAAAAAATCAAAATGTAAATTATAGTGACCTTTCTGAAACAATAATGACCAGAAAATTTAAGAATCACAAGAATCAACCCTAAAAAACAGAACCATTACAAATTACATAATGCAGGCCAGTAACCAAAGTATCCAGCTCGAAAATCCGGTAAACTTCCTTCAAACGACAGAGACATAAAAACTAATGAATTAACAGCGAAAACATCATCGAGCACAAATCATCATCGAGTACAAAACATCATCGAGTACAAATCATCATCAAGTACTGAAACTAAACTCAAAAACAATAAATCAACGACGAAAACAACTAAATCATGAAAAAAAATAAAAAAAACAATCAAAATTCAACAAGAAAACAAACAGCTAAACAATCGAAACAAAATTCAATCGAAAATTTATTGTGGTTTTATGTGTTCAATCGAACAATAAACAGAGAAAACAATCAAACATCGGAAAGGCCTAGATTTTCAAATAATCTTCAATACGAAACAAAATTCAAACAAAAATTCATGCAAATAGTTTCAATTAAGGAAAAACATCAATTAATAAGCTCAAAATTGCAGAAATCAAATGATAAACAAAGATTATACCAAAAAGTGGTCTACTTTTGTAGCCGAAGAACGAAGGCCTCTTCTCCGTTGAAATGTGCCACCACCTCGAGTTCTTACCATTGAAGAAGAATTCAAGCAATTTTACAGAAATAGCAAAGCTGATTTTGAAGAGAGAGAAAATGGAAGAAGGGAAGCCTGCGTTTTTGCGAAAAGAAAGAAAGGGAGGTGCGTTTTGGCTGGTAATAGGGAAAGTGAGATGTTGGAGAAAGAAAGGAGGCACGTGACATTTATGGTCCACAATAAATTTATTGTGGACCAGGTTTATTTAAGAATAAGTAAAAGACAATATACGAAGTATAAGATTAGAAACAATATATTATTATAGTTGTATTATCCAAATATTCCAAAATTAAAAAGATTTTTGCTAAAAAGGGAGAGGGGAGTTTTGGAGGGAAAAAACAGCACCAGGAAGTGACACGTGTCATTCCTGATGTCTATTTTAGTATTATGTTATTGATTTTAAACGCCTGATTTGACTTTTGCTTATACTATTTAAGCACAACCCTATTAATGCTTGTAAACATTGCCTCATTTTCGAAATACCAAGTTTTCATAACGTATATATATTGATGATATAAAAATAATATTGATTAAAGTTCCACATTAACAAAAGTGCTGATAAAATCCTCTCACAAAAAAAGTGCCGATAAAAAACCCAATGTCACAATGTGAGTCATTGATACAAATTCTACAAATTCGAGTCCAATGACCCAAAAACTAGCCCAGCCCAACAACCACTATTCCCGCCAAAACAATCATCAAACCCTCACAATTTTCCCGCCACAACAATTCCAATTATATAAATTATAAACTATCCACCTCTTTTTTCCCGCCATTGTCAATTCTCCCTCCATTTTCTCTCCCCTCACTTTCTCTCTCTTCAAGTCCGCCATGGAAGCTCATACCCAAAGCTCGAGAAAACGAAAGCAACCTTCATCATTTTCATCATCAACATCATCAGCAGCAACAGCGAATTCAAACCCATTTTCTGGGATTTTAACCCGCCATAAATCCCAGAAGTTTTTCTTCCATCATAATAGATCTGGAAAATCTCGCAGAAGTCGCTCGTTTCCTTCTTCTCTTACCAACCCTGAATTGCCCACTAATCAAAGATTGCTTGATTGTAATGTTCGTGATGTTGGCGATGAAGAAGGTGATTCGATTTGCCATATTTCGATTAAAGATCTTCGAGCTCGGCGGGTTTTCTCTAAGCCTGTTGGAGTGGATTCTGTGGGTAAGATTCGCGATGATAAAATTGGTAAGATTGTAAACCCTAATTTTGATTCTGAGGTAATTGCTGGTAAATTGGATGATTGTGATGTCAAATGTGATGGAAATGGCAAAAACCCTAGTTTATTGGTCATGGGGAAATGTGATTCAGGGATTGAAATTAAGGGGGAGGGTTTTAATGGTGAAAACCCTAATTTGGTAATGTCAAAAAATTGCGATGATTCTGGGGTTGAATGAAGGTGAATTCAAATTGTGGAAACCCTAATTTGGTAATGTCAAAAAATTGCGATGATTCTGGAGTTGAATTGAAGGTAAATTCAAATGGTGGAAACCCTAATTTGTCAATGCTGGATAAATGTGTTGAATTAAAAGGTGAGTATTTGAATGGAGGAAACCCTAATTTGTTGATTGAAGGAATTGGCGCCAAAAATGATTGCGGAGCTCGGGTTTCGAATGATATGAGTCCTAATTTGAGTAACAAAGATTTGAAGGGTTCGAATGGTGAACATTGTGAGGAAGATGTGCAGACAACACCTCCAGATGCTGTGGTTTTAGTCAGGCAGAGTGAAGATCAAAGTGTCATGCGGGGCAGACGTTCTGATTCGAGGTCACCGCCGAAGAAAATCAGTCCAAGTAAAGGTGGATTTGCTGAGGGGAAGAGGAGTTTTCCTAATTCCAAGAGAAATTTGGTGAGAATAAGATTTTTTCCTCCTTAAAATTTTGTTTGTGTTCAAGTTAATAATTTCATTTAATTGATGATTTGGCGGGAACGTAGTTTATGAAGCTTAGTGTTGATATGAGATTATTGGCACCTTTTTGCTTATCTTTGTTTGTAATTTATATTGAATTTATGATGCAATAGGGTCTGACTCCGTGCTCGAGGCTGAAGGTTTTTAAGGCCCCGAATTCGTTCAGCTATAAGAGACTGCTCCCTTTCTTAATGGATTTATCAAAGGATACACCAAGTAATCCCTTAGCCCTCCCTTTATATGTTTCTAATTTCACATGATATTCGTTTGGTTCATATAGCTGACCCCACTTATGGGATTAAGGCTTTGATTGATTGATTCATTTGTTTGTCAATCTATGAGTATGATAGTGTAGTAATTAATAGCCTTATTGAATAAATGTTTTATACAGATGCACCAAAAGTTAATCCAAGCATTAAAATCGAGAAGATTGAAGATAAGCCTCTAATTTTCTCCTCTCAAGAAAATGACATTGATTGTCCAAAATTGGATGAAAAGCCACTGGCAGCTGCAGTATCTTGCGAATCACCGGAAATGAATGTTGATGGTAAAGAAGAGGTTCTTTTGAACCTTAAGACTAATGTTTCTAATCCTCAGCAAGCTGCTCCATGTACCCCTGACAGTTCTATTGAAAAGGCTCAAGAAAACCCAGTATTTGATTTATTTCAGATCGAAACCCCTGTATCAGATGATCCCAAGAATTGTGGAGCATCTCTTGATAGCCAGGTTTCAAATATAGGGAAGTCGGGAGATATTAGTCCAATCGATGAATCTGATCTTGCTGTCACATTGCATAGTCCCAAGAGAAGTGCTGAACCTTTAGGGGAAGAAGCCTTTTTAAATACTCCGTCTCGTTTGTCTCTGTCTTTTGAACAAGAATGCAGGACAGTACACACAGAGTCAAATTCTGTAGGAAATCCAGTTAATGTCCTTAACAACTCTTCCACCCTGGAAGCTGTTGTTTCTCCAAGCGGTCCTAGTTCTGGCCAAGCAAATGGCATCCTAAAGAGAAATCCCAGGGGTTGTCGGGGTATTTGCTACTGCTTGAACTGTGCTTCATTCCGTCTCAATGCGGAAAAGGCATTTGAGTTTTCAAGGAATCAGTGGCTTGATGCCGAAGAACTTGCCATGGATTTGATGAAGGAGCTGTCAAACATGCGGAGTATTTTAGAAAAATCTATCAATGGACCTGATGCTAATGCTGTTGTCCCAGTTGATCAGGTGACAATTTCATTTTCAATTTCTCCAGCTTGTGTTTGCTATGATATTGAGATTATTACGATGATCTATGTTGATGTTTACATTTCTTCTATAGAGAATATAAGGTACTAGGATAGTGCTACACTATGGTTGCTAAATTTCATCTATACAAGCCATGGTAGTAGTTATGGCAAATTTAGAATCAAGGAAAAGCCTGAATGTGTTCTGTTACAGTTCTTGATGATTTATTTGATATACCTTGGACTTTTGTCTAGGAGAGGAGAAGGCTATGCCTCTGCACTCGTGAATGTGTAACAAACTAACAATTACCTTTTGGATGAATGTTAATCATAGTGATTAATTCATAAAATTTCTTTCTATATGATGATTTTGATACATTTATTTATTATTTATCATAGAAGGTTCAAACAATATTCTCTATTATTTACTTCACTAAAAACATTTAAGGAATTATCCAAAATTTTAGGCCGCTTTTCTTCTATGGAAAGTCTGCTAGTGGGGTTTTCTCTCCGAAATTATGTTGTTTGGCTGGTAGTCATGGCATCAATGCTTACTGGAAGTAAACAATTCATCCTCTCTTCTGATTATGTTGATCAAGGAATTGTGTTTGTGATGCTTTGAAACTATATTCTTAACCAAACATAATTTTTCTCCTTTTGTGTTCACAATCTTCGAATGTATTACTATTTCTAACTAGAAACACACAAAGTTTAAGTCACTTCAATAGTTTTGCTGATCCAAAGTTTGTGCAGGTTCAGGAAGCTTACAGGAGAGCTTCCCATGCAGAAGATACAGCAAGAAGCCGACTTGATCAAATGAGTGAAGATCTCCATGTTCATTGCAGAACCAAGGTAAATCTCATACACATTGTCCTTGATATTTCTTTTGATATATTAAGCTCATATATCTGATAATTTCATCTCATTACAGCCTTTGCAGCGTCCTGGGGTAAATTTCTCAAGCTCTGTCCAAGAAAAGAAAGATCATAGGAGCCTAGGAGGAAGAACTTTTGCAAGATGTCGAAAAGTCTCAATGAGGATCTTGGACTAATGATTGGAAGACTTCTTTTATCAGTTAAGGAAATTGATTATACTGTGGTTTTGTTCTAGAGTTGAAATGTACTTGTCATTCATGATCTTAGCTGCTTGAAAAAAGGGGTGAAGGAAAGAATCTCATTGACTGACTCATGTTTGTCGAAAGACCATGGCTATTGGATCACCTAATGACAGTAACTACTGAAATTCACATTATTGTATTTGTAAGTTTATAGTTTAGGTTATATTATATGACTGCATTAGCTGTAGATTTTTTTGTTGCAACTCAATGATCTGCTTCCCAAATTCTCATCCCTGACAACACAAATAGCTTCATTGCGATGACTCAATGATAGTTTGTCAGCGACATCTCAAGCAGCACATACATGTAACTTTAGTTTGGAAGAATGATGCAGTCGTATATATTTGGCCATTCGATTCTTTTATAAGAAGCATATGTTTATGGTGTACTATACAGGAATTTTCACTTGGAGGTACAGTATAAAGAGGTTTAAAACATTCAAAAGAGGTCGAGAATTCAAAAGGACTAAAACAGGACCTTTTTTTTTTATGAATCAAAGAATGTAAATAATTTATTGAACAATCAAATACAAAGAATTTTCAATATGAAAAAAAATAAAATCAAATTAATTTAATTTAATTTTAGCCATAGATGCGTTGATATGACAAGGATTTAGTTTTCTCTTCAATCCTTTAAACCCTGTTGTGCTTGCACTCAGTAGGATAGCCTTGAGGAAATCGCTTTGAATCGCTACAATAATCATAAACCTTAAAATGCTTATGCACCCATCTCATTCTTTTCCTGCCATTTGCATCGAGATCATGGCTCCTCCATGAAGCATGCGTAGTCCCTCCATTAGCCGGCCTTTCAGAGTTGGTGGAAGCCTCGGGTTCAAAAGCACAAGAGGAGGAGCTGCTACCTACAACACAGGCATCTATATTGAAGTTACGGTAGTAGGCAGTGAAGGGGGCCTTGGACCAATCTGTCTTCACCAAACCACCTTGAGTAGCCCAATCGTCAGCATTCCAAAGGCTAGAGTGTATCGTCATAGGCTGGTTCTTTGGGAATGCAACTCCATGTTTCTCATGGTTTCTGAATATTCTTATTGGTGTTTCATCCACCAAAAACCTGCAAGTTAAATCAATGTTCACATAGACTCAAAAATATGTTCAGAACAAAGATAAAAACGCGCTCATAAAACAAACTAATAATTGAAGTGGTATTTAGTTCATTTTACATGATGAGTTTTGTGTTCCAAACAATGGAGTAAGTATGGAAGTTCTTGGTAGGATCAAACCATAGTTTAAATTGCTGCTCCCTGCTTCCTTTACCCTGGCTGAACACATTCGTGTGGACGGTGTAAGGATTACCACTCGAGTTTCCCAAGAACTCGAAATCAATCTCATCATGTATACCTGTGGTTTGATCAGCTGACATCTGCAAATTGTAATTTAAAGATTAGCAAGTTGTACAACTTCGCTGCCATTCAAATGCATATAATGCAAGGACTATAACCTATATATACTACTTCCGTTAATTGTTATCTGCAATTTTGAATTTTTTTTTATTTCACAAAAAATACCCCAAAGTTACAGATAACAATTAACAGAAGTAGTAATAATAATAACATGAAATAATGTGACTTACATAAAACGTTGTGACGGTGCCAGCAGAGTTACCATGAACGAGTTTAATTTGCATATCAATCCTCCCATACAAGTATTCCTTCTTGGACCGAAACCCGGATCCAGTGTACTTATCTAGGGTAAGGGATAAGAGCCGGCCATCTTGACCGAAGATCCGAACTCTATTGTCACCAAATGTGGGCTGAAACTCATCCCTGAAGCTGCCTGCAGCGAAGGCGGTAGTGCTGACCATGGCAGCAACTAGTAGAACAATCTTAGGCACAATCAACTTGTACTTGTCATGCCAATGTGATGAAAATGCCATGTTTTTCTTATAATGAAGAAGATTTATGTTTATTTGTAGTTGTGTGAAGAATATAGTTTAGATAGGTATATATATACATGTAATATGGTGAATTATTAGTATTAGTAACGTAGATCTAATGCATGGTTTATAAGAGGGAAGGTTCTTAGCTAGTGTATACTTAACGCGGAGCTAACTGTGGATTTGAGAGTATAAGCTGGCCAATTATAATAGAAGTTTTAAACAAAAATTAAAGTAATAAACCTCGTTAATTCATTGTCATCTTAATTTAGTATTGATGTAATATGTTAAAAGTGTACGATTTAAACAATAGCTATAGTAATAGAAGTTTTTTTGCTGTTCCTTAACACAAATTATTTTAATTACGCACTTGGGAGCATGATGTATATTATGTTCTTAGAAATACACACATCTCAAAGGACATGCATAATAAAAGAACATGCAAGTCTTATGAAAAAGGATATTAACTGAGAGCATGATGCACATTAACTTACGATGGTTATGGGTGGAGCAATTAGCAATTTGTTTAATTTATTGGGTGTGTCATCTGATTATTGAGGTGAATCTCATTAATCAATAAGTTTTAAATTCGTTATTGTATGGATGTATTGGTATAATATGAGGAGATTGCGCTTTATCCAGGTACGTTATACAACAAGTTGATCATGTTGGTGGATTAAAATAGGCTTGACACTAACCCACTTATTTCGTGTCCGATTCGCGTTATACTATCATGTCGGTCAACTATTACCAGTTCTAATTAGGCATATAATAACACTTCCTTTCCCAAGAGTCCAAGGCTCTTTTTCTCTAACAGTCAAAACAATACAAGTATAATTTTTGCAAGTTTTGTCAAATGTATACTATGCTGGTATAAAAATCCCCTTTAATCTAGGTTGTCACTCTAATTAACTTTCTAATTTCGGTGCTAATTAATTTTGTGAGCATGTCTTGATTATGTAGCATGCACCCATATGTGCACCATGTTCAATAATGTAATTTAATAAAGGTAATGTCAACGCTTAAACTAGGTAACTTGCTGAGTAGTGACTAAATTCATCAATTCATTATTAAGAAAAGTAAGCAAATTTAGTTTAATTAAGTCTTCTCTTATAGAAAACAACTTCCTCGGTTACTCACTTGCTAAGCTGCTTGTTGTTTGTCAACGCCAGTTCATTATTTCATGTAGCATCTTATAGCAAGATTTGCAACAATAATAATCTCCTTCAATCTCAAGAAACTTCCTACGCCAAAGTTAATTAGCTTTATTGGTTAAAGTCTCAGTAGAAATAGAATAATAGTAATTCATACTCAAATATGAGATCGAATATCGTCTATCAGCATATCACAAGGACTTTCTACACCATCAACAAAGAAAATAAGAAATAAAAATTTAACGCACCAAATAATGAATCTGCAACAAATTGAAAGGTTAGTAAATAAAACATAAAAATTTCCGCTTCACTTTATAGGTAACTTGCAATGTTATTCGAGTTTAATTTTTGATGTAGAGAGAGCCATGACATAGGGTTATATCAAAGGAGGTTAATCTCAAGTTTTGAATACCAGTCTCAAAACTTTAATTAACTAAAACTTACATCCACATGTTAATCTGAATTTATTAGTAAAAAATAAGAGAATTTATTTGATTGCGTAGTCATTGATAACAAAACTTTGTGTACCAAAGAGTAAATGTGAAACAAATTGAAATGACGAGTGACTTATATGTCCCGTGTTTACCTCATTACATGTAGTAGTAACTTGTAACATTAAATCGATGTTATTTATTGTTGTAAGATATTCAATTTTTTCAATACGTACTTTAACCAACTAAATTACGGAGTAATCAACATTCACACATCAATTTGAGTTTATTGGTAAAGAATAAATTTGATTACATAATCTTTGTTCATTAAGAATGTTTTTCATCAAATCAAATGAAAGTCTTGATTAGTGCTTGCATTCAGGAGGGTAACCTTGAGACGAGAATCGCTTCCAATCTTTGCAATAATCATAAACCATGAAATGCTTCTGGACCCACCTCATTCTATTCCTTGATCTAGCATCAAGATCGTGGTTCCTCCATGAGCCACGTGCAGGCTTTCTATAGGTTGGCCCTCGAGAGTGGGCAAAGGTTGTTGGGCCAGTTACGCAAGAGGAATGGGCTCCAATCGGCCCAACACAAGCATCAATATTGAAGTTACGAAAGTAGGCCGTGAATGGGGCCTTGGACCAATCTGCTTTTACTAATCCACCTTGTGTAGCCCAATCATCTGCATTCCATAGGCTTGAGCATATTCTCATGGGTTGATTCTTTGGAAATGCAACTCCATGATTCTCATAGTTTCTAAATACCCTTATTGGTGTTTCATCGACCAAGAACCTGCATGTTCAAATAGATTAGTAAAAGATCGATTGAGCCGGTTTATTTGTATAATAGCTATACATACAAGTTATATAACTAGTCATTTACTTTACGTGAAGTTAGTTAAAGACAATAAAAACTAGTTATCCGCTAATTTAATTTAGTGACATACGAAGTATAAAGACATCCAACTAGATTTTGCAAACATCTTAACTTAGTACATGTGACTATTTAATAGAAAGTACGTGCACAGATAAAGGAACATAGAAAAAGTGTTGATTTAATATGGACTTACATGATGAGTTTTGGGTTCCAAACAAAGGAATAAGTATGGAAGTTCGCGGTTGGGTCAAACCAAAGGTGGAATTGTTGCTCCCTGTTGCCTTTCCCATGGCTGAACACATTAGTGTGCAAGGTGTAAGGGTGGCCACTAACATTCCCCAAGAACTCGAAATCGATCTCGTCGTGTGTACCCGTGCTTTGATCCGATGTTAACTACAAGTCACAATGCCATAAGATCAACATGAAGCTAATACATATTGCTACAAACGTACAATATATAACTGTTTATATATAGTGTCACTAAATTTTTTTATGAACAAATTAATATAGAAACTACTATAATAGTACAAATGGACTTACATAAAGAGTAGTAACGGTGCCAGCAGAGTTACCACCAACAAGTTTCACTTGCATATCGACCCTTCCATACAAGTATTCTTTCTTAGACCGGAATCCAGATCCGGAATACTTGTCTAAGGACAACGAAAGGAGCTGGTTGGTCCGGCCCCAAACCCGAACTCTATTACCACCAAAAGTAGGCTCAAATTCATCACTAAATCGACCTCTAGCATAAGCACTAGGGCACACCATAAGAACAACCATCACAAAATATTTGAGCGTAACAATTTTTTCATGCTTATTAATTGCTAAAATTCCCATGATTTTACTAGCAAAAATTTAATGGCCTAGTATTTAAATTTGTAGCTAAGTAAGTTTAATTTGTGAGATGATTAAGAAAGAGTGTAAGATCAAGTGTATATATACTAGTGAAGTGTGAAGATAAGTCACATGAAATTTCCGAATGAGTAATGTAAGACAAAGATACAACAACTGGAGATTAAGGCATAATTAGCTGGACTATCATCATGTTATTAACTTCATAATTTACTGAAAGTTGATCCAATAGGAATATTCATTCTGTTTTTTTTGTTGGTATCCTTAGTTTAAATTCATACAATAATTATTTATGAATTATATTTTATGGAGTTAAATCTTATAGTACTAAGTACAAGAAGTTTATTTGTTACTTTATGAGATTAAAGCTTAAGCCATTGGGAATTAACTCTTATTTTTATGATTATACAGAGTATATAATTATATTACTGACGGTATTTCTCTATATTCGATGATAATCTAGCAAGTTTTATCATGTGTGATAGCATGTGAATAAGAAGAACAAGCTATGATTGAGACAATGATGCGGGAACAAGTAGATAATTTTTTCATTAATTATATTATTAATTGGTTGTATTCTTAATTATTATCTAGTTTTATCATATTATTATTATTATTATTATTATTATTATTATTATTTATTAATATGTAATATTATAATTTACTAGTTTTATAACTTAATCTTTATAGGACTATGTTTAAATCTAAGTAAGATCAGCTAAATGACGCTTGTTAATAGTGTTACTTAAATTTAGTGTCGTTGCCATTAATTTAAACCTTATAAGTCGTCATTGCCTTCTAAGCTTTGTCAAGATCCATGCCACTATTCATTTCTTTCTTAGTTGCCTTTAATTTGTTGAATTCCTAGTGATACTATGTACAAGAACTTCTTTGAGACCTTTGAGTTACGTTCCTATAACCCTTAATTAGTAACATTTAGGCTTTTTCCTCAAACATTACCTTATTGTAACCTTACTTTGCATTCACACCAACCTTCTTCTTTTTTCAATTAACAATCTATCATCCGCAAAGATAAACCGTCTTGAGCTTTTTAGACTCCAATATTATGCCATGAATCCTTTCACGGTGAAGATCGAATGAAACGAAGAAACCAAATCTAAGATCCTAGATCGACCTTGTCATTTTGTCAAGCTATATGCTCTTAAAAGTTACAACCAAATATAAAGCATCAGAAATATACTCTTGAGAAATAATTCATTGAAGCTTCACTATCTCTATCTTCATTGATCTTTAGTTTGGGCTTCAATTTATCTATTCATTAATCTTCTTTGAGATTCGAACAACAAGTCTCGTCTATTATAAATTCTAATATGCAATAGGAATACTTAGGAATAGATATCTTAGATATGCATATTTGTCATTTATTTTGATGCATAACATATATAGATCGACAATGTTATTATTATTATTATTATTTTATTTAATTATTTTTTTTTTTATTTTTTTTTTATTTTTATTTTTTTTTTGCAATTGACAATGTTATTTTTTGGTAAAGGTTATCCTCTTACATATAACATATGTAGCTTGCAAGAATGTTATTATTTGGTAAAGGTTATGCTCTTACTCGTAATGTTTAAGAAGCCAACCATATAATTGTACATACTACTATAGGACTGTTTTTATTAACAAAAAAGATGTTAATTAATTCATTATTGAACAAGTCACATGATATGACACCTACAAGGGCTACAACATAAATCAAATGAGGAAAAAAGAGAAGAGAGAAAATGGGGTCAGGAAAGCAATAAAATACATGTACACAGATTTTGTTTTGTTGTATAAATAACTAGATAAATTCCGAGCGATACTCGACTTTGTTTTGTTGCATTATGTAATGTAGTTTTTAATTTTAATAATAATAATACCAATGACATAAGGACTTAATAAATAAAACAAGGGAAAAGAGAGTTTGCCACAATCAAGTAGGCCCAAGGAGGTTCATATTAAAACCAATTGGTGATGATAATAGGAGGTTTCTCTTTCTCCAATGTGCGACACTCATAATTAGGACTAAAATATATTTCTAACAATATCTAATTTTATCATGTATGCACAACATTTTAGCCATTTTTTTTTTATTTTGTGTATGATGAGTATGCACATTTAGGAGAGTTGCATAACTTTAGGATACATATATTTTATGTATGTAGCTAGGTAAGACTTTGAAGAAGACTCAAAGACTAAAAAGATACAAGCACAATATATATGATCTAAAAAATTGGAAGTGGAATAAGTGTGAATAATTGATTTCATTTTGAACTTGCTTCACAATAATACAACAGATTTTCAAACTATTTGACTCTTGTAACTTGTAAGTCTTGTATGGATTGAAAAATGAAAATCAAACACACTTGACCTTAGTTTATAATAAATATATTGATATAAAAATAGCAAACGTATACATTTTGGTCGATATCACACGTACAATGATGCTTTTTATAGTAAGTTTTCAAGAATTAAAACAAACGTTACTTCAAACAATATCAATAGAGATCATGAATAACAATGGTGTAAAAACTTAAGGCGATGCATCTTTTGTCAAACAATTTAAAGTTGTTTCCCTACTCGAAACCGTGCTTGCACTCGGGTGGAAAAGCTTGAGAGAATCGCTTCCAATCGGTACAATAATTGTAGATCATGTAGTTTCTTTGAACCCATCTCAGTTTCCTCCTGCTGTTTGCATCAAGATCATGGGTCATCCATCTCCCATTCCTCGCGGTATTGATGTTAACGTTGCGATAGTAGGCCGTGAAGGGAGCCTTAGACCAATCTGTCTTCACCAATCCGCCTTGTGTAGCCCAATCGTCGGCATTCCAAAGACTTGCGTATATTCTTTGTTGTTGGATTTTAGGGAAAAACGTTATTCCTTTGTTCTCGTAGTTTCTGAATATTCTTAAAGGTGTTTCGTCAACCAAGAACCTGAAAAATCAAAGACTATACGTTAAAATGACTAGTATGTGACAAGTTTTAGTACTGAATAATTATAGTACGTTATTTATTTAATGTAACAAAAATTTAATAAATAATGACTAGTACAGAATTACTATTATACACGTACATTTATATCTTAAATGTAACAAAAAAAATTAAGTGTACTTACATGATGAGTTTTGGATTCCAAACAATGGAATAGGTATGGAAGTTTAGAGACGGGTCAAACCATAGGTGGAATTGTTGCTCCCTGTTGCCTTGCCCTTGGCTAAACACATTGGTGTGGATGGTGTATGGCTGGCCGGAAACGTTCCCTAAGAACTCGAAATCAATCTCGTCGTGCCTTCCCGTGCTTTGATCAGATGACAACTGCATATAATAATGTCGTAATGTTTAATACGAGTACTATTTTTACAATAGAGTTTGTACAAACCAAATCTAACTATGACTAATGGATCAAATAATAATCGGCCTTATTTAGTACTAAGTTCCCACCATCGTTTAAACGGGAACAACATTTAAAGGCGGGAAAATAATTCACTAATGTACTCCAAACAAAGTAGTTGCGAGTTGGTTCATCTAGCTTATTTGACCTATAAGTAATTAGTAATGCTAGTTATTACTATTCGTTGTTCTACTCAGTCGTCTGGTAGCTGACTAGCAGTAAAACTATATATAGAAATATATATTGTAAAGCAATTACTCGTATAGTACTGTACTAGTAGTTGTTACTTGTTAGACGTTTAAATGCAAAATGACCAACTTAAATTTTGGAAAATAAATACCATAATAAAAGTCAGCAGGCCTTCCTAGCTTAGTAATAAATTTTGCTCGAACCAACTTTTTTAACGATTGAGAAATTTGATTTTAATTGTTTGACCACTTTGCTAAGGTAAAATTCACAAGTCAATAAAAAAAAAAAGTTTACTCTCTCAATATCTACAAGTTTTTCATGTTTTAATTTTCTTGTGAGGATAAGTTACTATCTCAATCCGTATAACAATCATTGTTCAAATAGAAAGAACTTTTAGACACAGTGCATGAAATATGATATAAAAAATTATTTAACCGCAAAATGAGACCACAAACAATAATGCATGTTAGTATGTTAGTAACAGTAAGCAACTTACATATAAGGTGGTGACCGTGCCAGCAGAGTTACCAGAAACAAATTTCATCTGCATATCAATCCGTCCAAACAAATACTCCCTCTTAGAACGAAACCCGGACCCTGAACCCCTATCTAGGGTAAGTGCAAGTTGTTGACCACCAGGACCGGATACACGAACCCTCGGGCCACCAAATGTGGGTTCAAAATCGGTGTTAAAGTTCCCGAGACCATAGGCCGTGGTGCACAACATAAGAGCAACCACGACCGCGGTTACAACTTCAAGCACAATAACGTTATTGTCATGCCTAGTCCCCATAATTTTTTTTTTTTTGTGTTGTAGTAAAGATAAGGAGCTAAGTAGAGTGTGGGATGTGGTTAAGAAAGAGTGGAAGAAGAGGTATTTATATAGTAGTGTGAAGTGGATAATATGCAAAAGAAGGAAGATTCATAATTTCTAGTAATAATAATATGTGAATGGAAAGAGTAACAACTATAGTAGGGACTAGAGAGTATTAGCTGGCTCAATAATCGGACTCACCCGAAAATATTAATCCAAAATTAATTTCGTGTTTTTTGTGTAGGTCCCTTTATAAATTGGTTGGCACTTAGCTAAGCTAGTTCTATAGATTTTTTTGTGTGGTTCATAATTTTATGAAACAATCATGCACGCGTATGTTTAAATGGCTATAATCAAAGCATAGGGTCGAAAAGTCACGATCATGAACTTATGATATAAACGACTCTTAAAGTTGCAAAAAAAGAATTTAAATATATTTTTTAATATGGTGCTAAGTATAAGTTTGATAATAATGCATGCAAAATTATAAGTCGATAATCAATGTTACTAACACTTAATAATTTTTAATTGTTTATTTTTATTGCATTATCTTTTATTAGGACTGTAGTAATCATTTTCATTTTTTAAGGAAACATTAATTTTTTTTGGTTGTATTGTGTGTGATTGGAAAAAAATAAATAAATTATTGCATGTAGTTTACTAAGGTATTTTTAGTTAATAATATACGGCCGGGTACTTTCTACTTAATTTAACGACATTTTAGCTTTTAAAAGTCGTTGTATAAAATTATGAAATATTTATTTTCCTAAAATATAAATATAATGTAGAGCAATGCTAAGCTATTTCTATCTCAATCATAAATTCATCACACTCTTTCAACGTCAAGTGTAAGAAGTAACATCAACAGCTAGCTGCAATTGAAATTAGGTTTGTAGTCATCTTGTAACTTGCATGTAGTAAGTCACTAAGTCAGCCTGGTTTTAGTTGGCATTTTTGCTCTACTATATTCATGATTGTACTAGAATTTATGTAACAGCTAAATTATTGAAAGATTTTGCTATAAGTGATACTATTAAATTATTATGAAACCAACTCTTATGTCAACGTGCAATGTCTATATATTTTCACACATAAAATTATTTTTCTAGAATAAATGAATTAATAAAATATACAAGAATATAGTAATATACTACTTGGATCTTATTATGAATTGTGGCCATTAAATTTACATTTATGTATGTTTAACGAAGTTTTATCGATAACAATTTTCTTTTTACAACCAGTAATACATGCATACGGCGTATTACAACGATGTCGACGTATCTAAATTGTAATTTTCTTAGTGTTTAACAAGGGCATGTTGGTACTATATATATGATCGTTGATGTGACTATATATGAACATGTACTTGTGTATTACTGTACTAATAACTCGAAAACAATGTACTGCAATGAAAATACATTTCTCATCATAATATGAGTTAAGTACGTACTTAATTAAATTAAAGTTAGTTGTTATGCATTTATTAATCCATGCAAACACATTAACATGTACGCACATGCATTTGTGTGCTAGGGTAGGGATGAGAAAAGAAGAGTATCAGATTGTGGGTCAACTTATAAATGGATTTTCAAGTACCAGTCTAGGTTTCTTGAATCGAATGTGCACAATCAAACATCAAGTCATCATATGAAAATCATACATCAATGCATGACACGACATGATACACAGTCGGGAGGTTGGCTATACTTCGGTCACTTTTTTTTTTTTTATGAGGAACGTATGTTATATTGTCTTAGCATGTGGGCTTGGGCCTTGAATTTTCTATCCAAAAAAACCTTAAAAAATTCTCGACAAGGCATGAACCATGGCCAATGGCCATTAGACCAGTCTAGCCAACCAACATGCGAGTTTGGGCCTTGAAATTCCTATGGAAGCCAAAGTTTTTAATAGTTTTGATACGACATGACCCAATAAAAGAAAAGTTGAGCAAATAAAATCTACAAAGATTATGGGCGTGTTTGGTAGCAGCTTTTGAGTAGCTTAGTCAAACCACATAAAATTGAGTACTTGAAAATGTAGTGTTGAAGGTAGTAATTATTGAGTATTTAGAAATGTAGTATTGAAGGTAGTATTTGGTACAGAATAGTAGAGGTAACTTTTATCAAAAGCTAAAATTATTAGTTTTTGAAAAATTATTAAAATAGCTTATTTCTTTGTTTTTGTTAACTCAATAAAATTTGAAAAATGTTGACCCACACTCACATACACTAATTACATGTACACATATAATTTGTTTGCTCTTTATCAACTGCAATATCTACAATTTAATGCTAGCTTGATTAATTAATCTTAGATGCATGTACTCTCATTGATAGGGAGGTCTACTGTGTCATTTTTCAAAAAATAACACTATAATATGATGATGTGTCATGTTATAATTGGTCAATTTTTAATTTATTTTTAAAAGCCTAAATGTACTATACATGTGTGTATAATTGTAAATATATGTATTTTTTTAAAGAATACGTAATTATAGTTTTTAAAAATCTATTCTTATCTTTATAAAATTATTTTCAAAAATTAAATTATAATTAAAATTTAAAAAATAAAAAATCATCATTGTTCTTCATTCATGATCTTAAATTAATTAACCACCCCCAAAATCTAGTATAATCTATTCGAAACTCAGACCAAAATTCGGTCCAAAGATCGGATTTATTGGGTTTCGAATTGAATTTGCTTCCATGATCTGTATACAAATTTCGTTTTAGGTTTGATTGATAATTTTGATTTATGTAAAAATCAAGTTTTTTGATAGTTTTGAGGATGAAAATAGCCTTAGGTGCGTGTATTATGATGATCTAAAACACAGATCTTTCAATTTTTATTAACAATCAATGGATCATGAGGGTGTGCTCTGCAATTTAGAGTTCGATTTTTTTTTTCGCAAATCTGTTTGATCTGGAATCGAGATCTGCAATTTTTTTAATCTGTTTGTGGTTAGGTAATTACCTAACCCACAAAGAAGTTAGAGAAAACTTAATTACATTTATCGGATCAAACAGGGGTTGCGAACAAAAAAAAAAATGCGACCACATCATCTTCTACACACTTGATACTCCTTGTTCTTTGACAAAGTTGCACAATTTGAGTCCACATAAATCATATTTTCGAACCACTCAAAGCAGAATTCGCCCTTTGCAAATACTTATAAATGAGATTGTTGTTGAGATTTTTTTATGAACAAAAACCTAAAATAAAAAACTACAAAAAACAAAATGCAAAAACACAATTTGTTTTTGAATTTTAACCCGATTTTAGTCTGGATTTACAAATTTATCAACAACTAACACTGATTTTGGGGATGGGGGGCTAATCTATGACATGATTGATGAACATTGATGAACAATATGAACAATTTTTATTTTTTGATTTTTAATTATGATTATAAGTTCGAAAATTTATTAATATTATAAAATAGATTTTCATAATTTGTAATTATGTATTTATTAAAAAAATACATGTATTAAAAAGGATACATAAGAAAATAAAATTTTAATATATTGTGAATATTAAAAATAATTCAAAATAAAAACAAAAATATTAAATACAGGCCAATTAGATTTTGCCACGTTAGCAAATTATGTTGTCATTTTTAAAGAATGACATTGTAGAAATTTCACTCATTGATACTAAGAAGCATTTTTGGGCCTTTTATGATATAAAATAGTTAGGCGTAATTTTCCATCCTAATACAAGTATTAGCTAAGTGAGCCATAAGAATATTGAGGGATTACGCTTATTCTCGAGTTTGCAACATCTATCCACAACAAGGTCAAGGTGTATGTATTGGGCCAATTGAGGTACATGGCAAATTTTGCAATAGTAAATGTTGACATTTTTGGCTCTTAGTAATCAAAAAGAAAGAAAAAACATTGATGTTTTTGGCTTATTCTTTGGAATTACAATGACAAAATGCATGTTAGCTTATAGGGAATACTTTCTATATAATTCTCGTCTGTCTCCATTTAGATTCTGGCATTATATTTCATATATTTGTCAGCTTCTATAAACTGAGGTTTTGTAATTTTCTTCAATCATTATATATATTAATAATGTGGCTTCTATTATTCACCTGAAAAGGTTTTAGAAGTAAGTTAAGCCTAAGATGTGTGATTTAATTAATTTTGACTCATCTAAATTTATCTTATCTGAGCATATTTTGTTAATACTAATAAGTTGAACATATAATACATTCTTAATTCTAAATGAATGTTAAACAACTTATATGCCTACAATCTTGAGTGAGCGTGAGCAATCCAACAAGGAGGAGTAAATTTGATCCACTTACAAGCTTATACTCTATAGAAAATTTCATCCCAAAACAACTGATAAATAAAGGAGTAAGTACTCAACCTTATAAAACACTCGCTTGTAATAGTTTTCTCTACTCTTCACCAACGTGGGACAATTACATATGGACATCAAACATAATTCATGATCTGATGATTTCAATAATTATTGGTTTTTACCAATATGCCAAATTTCCCACCTCCATATGGTGGGTGACATCAATTTTTGTCTCACCGTATGTGGAACAAAAAAAAATTCGCCCATAAAAAATTTTGGTAGGTTTTTCTTTAAAAAATTGGTAAGCTTTCATTCAACAATTATTTTCTTCCATTTACTACAAGCAAACATTTATAATTTAAAGACATTTTAGGTATTATATGTGTACACCACTGCTCTACATCACTCATTGACTTATATAATAGAGATTTATTATATTATTTTATTTCTACAATTTCTCACAAATATTAATAAGTTATTCCATATATTAGCTTTCTAAGCTAAAATGTTATTAATATCCTGTGCATTAGCACGACGGTACGAGATGCCTTTTAGTTTAATTATAATGTTTAAAAGAATCAATTTGATTTTATTGAATATCTTATGATAACAAGTTTACAAGTACACATAAAAATGTAAATTCATGTATAAACATATAATACGTGAAATGAATAATTTTAGAATAAAGAATCAAATTAAAATACAATGTGAATTAGATGGTAGCCCATGCAATCAGATTCTTTACCCTTTCCCTCACCCTCACCCTCACCCTCACTCTCACTCTCAAATTCTCAATCTATCGTTTGTGTATTTAAAGCTATTGTTTGGTAGTTTTGGGTTGTGTGACATGGTGGGCTTTTTACCTC